ATCCTTTCAGTAGAGGGTTAGCGACGTTTGCGTCGCGTTACTTGTATATCTATCGAGCACAAGCACAATTCGTCTTGGACGAATTGATTACCGAAGCAAGAAAAACTAAAATATTTACAATTGTTCCAAAAATTGGTTCACTATTTTCAAATGATATGTTTATACATGTTGAACTAGTTCAAGATTCACAAACAATAATTGCTCTCATCGAATATTGCACTGAAAGAGATAGAAATTCATCATATTATCATATACTTCATAATTTCTTTACTATTATATTTGATTCCTCGAAAACAATTCAAACATGGGGAAATCTTCTTGATCTGTTAGTACCTTATGCACAGTATGGTCTATTTGCATCCAGTGATGTAAGTCAAGCTCAGACGATTAATGTTCAAAAAAGATTTAAACCATGGTATAATAATATATTTCGTCACGATATACAATGCCAACAATATCGAAAATATGATGAAATTGACAGTTCATTATGTACATGTTGTCATCGACCCTATAAATCATCATCATGTCAATGGTCCATATCAAAAGCAATTGCTTATACATTTGATGAGCGTTATGATTACTATATGCATGACATTCATAAATGTTTAGCTATTACTAAACTAGGACATGTTATTAATGAGAAATGGACAAGCCAAAAATTAAATGCTTATAAACAAAAACAATTTATCAAGAAAAAAGTAAACAGATTATTTTGTACTAAGAATAATTTCAATAATGAACTACTAATCCTATCTTTTATCTTGTCCTTTTTTGTTTTTAGAATCCATGACAACATTACAAAAAATCCATCGCATAACAAATAAAATAAACTGATCAACATAATGAGATTGCTTTGCATGTTTTTTATTAAATTTCATTAAATAAGTTTCTTCTTTTATTCGTTTTTTTATACATCGCTCCATTTTTCTATTCGATAATAAGAAATTTTTCTTTATTCAATTGTAGATCAAATACTTTTGATGAACATAACCATTTTCTAAAAAGGCAAGAAATGGATCGATAAATTGAACTCGACTTATTATGCAAAAGACGAAAATTTCAAAATTATAAATGATTATTTAATTGTAGTTCAGCTTGTAGAATTATTATCTTACCATGAAATCAATCATGACAAATGAAGTTTATTATTATATTATTCAATCGTATATAAATAATATGATTAGTATCGAAATGATATCTAGAAATTTACAAGACAAATGAATTCATCATCTATTAGCTGGTTTCATTTTAAATCATTATACAATGTCTCTAATTTTTGTTTGCTGCAACAAAACAAAAAAGATTATTCTATTCGGTAATATGTTAAATATTGGTGAAAATGAAGAAGACAATATCTTTTATAGACTCACAATTCTTCTCTCTTTATTGCTCTCATTTTCCTACTCTTTCTCTCTCTCTCCTACGCTAAATTTTTCTCTTGGACTATTATACGGTACATAAAATTACGTAGTTACATTTGGGCACGTCTTAAGGGCAGTGTTTGCTAAAAATGGAATCTCATAAGGGGCAAATGGGGAAAAAATGTAGTTATTTCAATGACGTTATAACATTGTTTTACGTCTTCGCTTTAAAAACATTTTGGTAAAAAAAGGGGGGTGCATGTATACAAAAGAGATGGAATGCTATAGTGGAGAAGCACCCCCGTTAGCTCAAGAATTTTCCCACTTGAAAAAAATGAATTGTACAGTCCAAAGGGCGTTCTCTCTCTCTTCGTCCTATTTAAACTCATGTTTTTTGCTTCTAGTCTTCATTTCAACTCAAACAATATATCAAGTAAGTACCATTTATATCATTGTTAGCTCTACCATTATTAATATAAATATATAGACATATAGAAGCAAATGAGATGTATATATATATATATGAATAAACATATGCTAATTTAGTTCAATTGAATTTCGGAATTAAATATGCTTCCTATGAATTATCTTGAATATACGTATCAAGATTTAGATACCGGTGAAATTTATTCCATTTAATCTTTCCATAATACGGGATAACATATCGAGCAAATCGATTTACTGACTGAATTTTTCTTTTTATCGCTTGTTTTGTTTATTTGTCTTTTATTTTATTTGAAGTGTTTCATATTCAGTAGAATATTATTCATCAATGATTTTTCCTTATTCTAGATTCATTCTTTTTATTTTTGTTCAGACATCTATTCAATTATTATCAATTGAAATATGTCTCGTAGAAATATTCAACGTCGTCCATCGATCATATTCGTATCAGACGAAGAGACTGATGAGAAAAATGATACTGTAATGGACACAGAATTTTCTACACCAATGGCACAATATGTTCATTCAGATGTAATACAAACAAATGAACGACAATCAGTTCTACCACTATCGACACCAATACGTTCATCAGCTCGAAGACAGCGAACAACAACAACAGCAACAACAACAACTACTACTACAAGATCACAAGGATTTGAAGTGATCGAGTTAGTAACACCAAAAAAATCACCGACTATTCATTGTCAACCAAATTATATACCACGTACAATTCATTTTTTTAATCAACAACGTTTATCAATTTTACCTAAATTTCCAACAACAGGTAATACTACTAATATACATTTATTATTAGCCAATGTACCTATGGCTCAATTATCATCCGAAGAATT